CTGTTATTCAATGGATACCAGCTCATATACAACTAGAAGGAAATGAGAAGGCTGACACACTCGCCAAGAGTGAGAGAACTAACTCACAAATAAACTCTACACTCTATCCAGAAGAATTGAAGAAATTAATTGTAAATAAAATAAATGAGAAATGGACGAGCTCTCATCCAAATCACAAGAAAGATGACGCTTACTATAAGCTATCCCGACAAGAACAACGCCAAATCTTTCGACTCAGGACCGGACACAACAGGATGCGACAACACATGTATGAAGCCCAGAGAATGCTGACCATGTCCTCCAAAACTGCTCTCTTTACCAAGAGGCCTGTATAAGACACTGGCCCCAAAACACCCCAATAGAAAGAAAACTATATGGAGAGCTCCCTGATTTGGAAACCACTGCATAGTTCATCTCATAAATTGGTCTAGTCATCTGAACGCTTCAACATAACAATGAGAACGAGGAAGAAGAAGAAGATAATGACCATTGGGAAAACAAGCCTTAGATTGCACTACGTGGAGAGAGATAGTGACCAAGAAAGCTATAGACAGCGAAAAAATATGGCCTCAGCTCTGGAAGAAAAGTGTGCCACATGAAAAAGGGCTCCTCTACCATCACAGCAAAAGCCCAACTACCCTGCAATATATGTGGACGGGAGTGTTTCTCCAAAGTAAGGCTCCAATCACATGAAAAAGTGTTCTACGAGATGAACCATAGTTGTTACGACTGAAGGAAGCCAACTAATTTAATTTTTAAAAGAACTTTGCTGTGATGGTTATGAGGCTGATAGTGTGGTAGCTTTGACAGAGTTGAAATTTGCCTCTCTTAGGCAGGGTGATGTAACATATAAACTTCTAAATAGGCTAAGCCATGATCCTTTGATAAGGTCTCAACAAAAGTCATTTTTAAACATCAAGAAAAGTTGAATTCTAAAAAAATTTTTAAAGGAAGAAAAAAGCATAACAATGATCAATATGCTTGTCACAGCTTTCCTATTATATAACTCTATCTACTTATAATTCGATAGAAACTACCTTAAGTCTCGATACGTTTAGGTGTCCCTGGTTCAGTTCTAGTTAACGAAATAAAACAATTAAACTACTAGATCAAACACATAAACTTTAATCATCTTTACTGCATATCACACACGCTGGTCTCTGTCTGACAACCAACACACTTCCAGTCATTCGCGCAGATTGTAAAAATAGATTATACATACATACATACATTCATCCGTGACAAAGCTTAAAGGTAGGATTTCTGATAACATTTTCTTTTTCTCTCGATCCTTTGTTATCTTTATTTTCGAATGTTTTTTTTTAAAGATGGATACTATTAGTTTTTTAAGTTAAACTTTTTTTCTACAAAAACTGTGACCACTTAATATGCTTCTTTTCTCTCATGAAACTGTGAAAGTAAGTTTTTATAGTTTTCAGTGATTAGAAACTCAGATTTTATAGAATTCAGTGATCAGAAACTCCTACCTACAATTACAGTCTAATTGCTGGTGGCTGTCAAGTCTCATCCAAAATAGAAATATTTTTTAATGCAATATGATAACTAATTTGACTAATAGTATTAAAACTAGAACTACAATCATATAGGTTATTTTTTGTATGAATAAAATACCTGCTTCCAATTTCAAATGGGATTTGCCAAGAAAGAATTCCTTCTTGTTGCCTAGCAACAAACATTGTAGGAAAAGCTTCAGTTGCATTTGAAGATGTTACAGTGACACGTACAGCTGTTGTCTGACAAAAGAGATTATATTTTTATATTTATTCTTTAAAATTTGAAGCACACAGTCTTATACTTCTTGCAGCAACTCTCAAGAGTAAAAAAGAAATCAAAGCCCAATTTCAGACCTTGTGATATTTGAAGCAGTTAATGTAAAGCTCATCTGTTTATATGTCAGACAGTTAATGAGGGTATTATGTAGCCTGCACAATCAATCATATACTATACAGCTTAAAGCTTTGTCTCCACCTCATCCAGCTCTCAGACTAATTATCATCTAAAGACAACAGTTTTTTTGAAGATTGAGTAATTTCATTAGAATTCTTATAGATCTAGAATCTATAGCTGACCGGAAACTGAATTAATCATATAAATGCAATGCAAGCACTTTTACCCACTTCTGACACCATGTTTTGTTGCTACAGAGAAATAAATTAATGTGGACTAGCAGTAAGTGTAGAAATTATGTTTGGGTGGGGATTGGTAATGGTGAAGAAATTAAAAGCATTTTCTATGTTACAAACATCATTTCAAGCAGTTTTCACAAAATAACAACATTAAAAAATGAGATCGTAATATATCACAGATACATGGAATTTTTTCCCATGGCCAAAGGATGAAGAATTTGTTGATGATAGATTTAGATTAATAATTTGAATTCAAAATCTACTAGTCAATAGTGATGACTATTATATACTATATTATATAGCAAACCTTATTTTCTTCCAGATAATTATAAATAAATATAATCTGTTGAGATATATTAACATAATCTGAGTATGTAGTTCCAAATGAGCAATTTGAAACAATAGAGGTTGATAAATTGAAGTTCAAATTCGCAATTTCTAGATCTAAATTCGATGCATTTACAGTGATGTTTTTGTTATTTTTATTTGCACCAGAATTCTTATTTGCTAGATTTACTGCACCAGACAATTTTGTATCACTTAAGTCACTGTCTGATTGTAAATTGTGAACATTTTGTAAAAGACAGCTGACCATCATCATGTTGTAAATAAAGGTAAATTTTAAGTCGTTTGTAGTATAAGATCTAGATCTGGTATTAGATCTAGATCTCAATGCCGATGGTGACATTATAATATTTACAGTTAAATCTAGACTAGATTAGTGAATGATCATAATGAATAGAGTCTAAGTACTCTAAGTCACTCTGACAAGTCTAACTTAGACTTTCAGTAGACTCTAAAACTCTAAGTCTGAAAGTTTTTGTGCTGCAGATCTTTCTCAATTAATTTTGATTAATGTGACGTCGTTACTCAGTTACTGATACTGGGTTTTACTAAGTTATAGAATCATTATTTATTTATTATAGATCTAGACTCTTTTAGAAATATAGAATCTATAAGAGGTACAAATCTATCAATCAATGATCATATTTTTTTTTCAATGATCATATGATTATGAATTGATACAAGTTCCTTGTCTATCTATATAAATATAATTGTTAATAGGCCAATCTATTCGGTATCTAGGAGTGATGTCCCTTGTTGATTGTTGTTACTGGGAATGGCGTACAATAAACAGCTGATTTGTCAGTTAGAAACATTGTCTATGGTTAGAAACTATAATAAGAGTTACTTAGTTAGGTCTTTAATAGGCACTGGCATGCAACAAATATAGATCTAAATTTATCTCGAACTCTTAAAAAAAAAGCGTTATTTTGCTAGTCGATAGTAAATCTAAAAGGCAGATCTGCATGTTTATCAGCTTTTTGTTGAAAAACTACAATCTACTGTAGATGTCTCGTAAAGCTAATTTGACAATGGTTTTGTATTTAGTAAAGTATGAATAAAATGCAAAGACGAATTTATTTTCTAATACAAAATCTTAATGTTCACTTATTATCCTTATCACAACCCAGAATAGGGCCCCGCGCAATCCGTTTCGCATAGGGCCCCGCAATCTGTAGGACCGGCCCTGTGTACATGAATAGTTCAAATTTATTCCAATTCACCCCATATATGGGCCAAACTGAAAGAAGCTGGAGCAGGTAGTATAAAAAAGGAGAGTAATACAAGGTGGTTCGCAAGAGAAGAAGCTACGTCGGCAGTTTCCTTGCATCTCGACAAACCTCATCAAGCTATTGGAGAAACTTTCTGAATCAACAATTAAAAGAATGGACACTAGAAGCAATGCACATAATCTTCTTCATGCAATGGAAAATCAAGAATTTTTTGCTTACCTGGAATTCTGGTCGAATCTCCTGCGCCAAATTGATACAGTTCAGAAGAAACTCCAAAAATCTGGACTGTACTTATGGGAATCTGCTGAAGAAATTAAAACCTTTCATGCTTTCTGCAAAATGATGAGATACTTACGAAACTGATCACCCAATCCATCGAAAGAGCAAAAGAAGGTACTGAATGCGATGGATTTATATATTACATTATCTCATATTATGATGTCGAATTTTCACAATGCTAGGGGTATGCAACGGTATTAGTCACTAAAGAGTCTTAATGATTATTTCTTGTTAATTTTACTGATTTACTATACCAATTTGAATGTAGAATTATATATTCATTAAGTATATTATCTCATGTTATGACGTCGAATTTCACAATGCAAGGGGCCCCCAAAGAGGTCAATCCCCCCGGGTCCCCAAGTCCCTAGCTACTCCCCTGACCTATAGACTAATTATAAATTGTGAACACTGTTAACAGTTTTAAATTTGATAAGAAATTAACATACAGGCAATATATAATTAAGTAGCTATAAGTGGTTGCTAGCATTAGCCCTGCTTTTCACCACATCTGCAATATTAATTTGTTTTTGAACATTGATGAAATGCTTGCTCACATCAGTATCCGACAGGCATAACTATGGAAAAATTTTCATAATTCTGTAAAATGTTAACATGACAATGATCACCACAATTATTCATATGCATTGGGTATTGAAGAAAGTTCACCAAACTCCAATTACAGTACTAACTTTGTTTTCAGATTATTAAGTTCCATGTGTAAATAAATCTTCAGAATATTTCGCTCAGTAAACATTCAAAGGACTCTTTAATGTTTTTTCAATTCTTTGTCTTTTTAAATGTGGGAATCGACTCAAATCTTTTTTAAATGAAAGATAAACCGTTCAACTTTATTTTAACTTTTAATCAGTGATATCATTTACGAAGCTAGAAAACAGTGTGTCCTTGCTCCTTGCCATGCAGATTTATATTTAAGTCGATGAGATGTCTAGTTTAATCAACTAAAACGGCTTAATTTAACTTTTATTTTCATCCCACAGAGGACACACAGGATACACATTTGAGACCAAAAAAGAAATCTGCTGCCGAGGACAGATGCAGGCAGCTCAAAGAAAATCTTAATCGACCACCGGCGGATAATGGTTATGCTTGCTCAGTATGTGGCAAAATATGTAGGTTACACCTGGGGCTGCGCAGCCACGGGAAATACTGCATTCTTCATTAATCTTCGGACTCAAAGACAAGCCTTATTATTATAATTTAGTTAGCTTTAATTGATTGATGATTTCCTAGACATAAATTTGCAACCTCAAATATGTCTGACCATCTAGTATTTCCTTAGAGTGACTTAAGGCCAATAAATACTTTGAAAATGTTGACATTGTAATCATTTTTTTTTAAATAACAAAAAGCTTAAACGAAAAGAAATGACATACATATTCATCAAATGACGTAATGGTAACAATTACATTTAAACCGATGTGTTGTTGTTTTGGTCTGATTACTTATCAATATCAGGTGACCGAGCCTTGCTCGGATGAATAATTTGTTAAAGAAGGGTATATACCCGAAGTCATGTTGGGAATATTGTTGTAATTACGAAAATGAACGATCGGGTAAAGACTATCAATCCGAAAAGTGGCTTTTTCGTTCTGTCAGTTCTCAATGTAATTGTACATGGCGATTAGAATGGAAAGTCCCCCCAACAGTAGACCTATAGAAAACCACAGCTCACGTCTTAACGTTTTACATTGCTTCTTTCGCATAAAAGTTTTGGGCTATTATAGGCTTGGAAGAAGCCTTTGCAGTGTAACTTCTAAAATAGTTACTTTCTGACATTTAATATTGCAATTAATATATTCATTATGGCTCTGAGACATGGACACTTTACAGAAAACAACTAAGACTTCTTGAGTGCTTTCACCAAAGATACTTGCGCTCCATCATGGGCATACGGTGACAGGCGCACTACAAACAGCGATGTCCTTGCCATCGCCGGTATGGACAGTATAGAGGGTCTTCTTATGGTCCGACAGTTGCACTGGGTAGAGCACGTATCCGGTATGGGAGACGAACATATGCCAAAGGCATGACTGTCGGATTATAAGAAGTTCAAACCATTTTGCAAGAATATCGCTGTTTGTATTGCGGTTTGTTGAAGTCGTTTAAGAAGTCTTAGTTGCTTTCTATAAAGTACTCATGTCTCAGATCCACATAGAGGGGTTGAGAGAATCACTGGTTGACACTGATTTTTGTAGACAGGAAAGCGATTTATCTCGCTTAGAGGCGTCCAATAGCACGACTATCCCTGATCAAATATCTACCTCTCTTTAAAGCAATGCGTCATTTGATACTATGCTTCCATGATAATGTGAAGTTATCTACCACTTTAAGGGATGTCTATGCGCGGTGATCTTTGAGCTGAGTAGGTTTTATTGGGTGACTTCTGGAACATGATTTCTGTTTTACCAAAGTTTACAGGTTAACCAAAAAAAAGCAGCAGCGTGATGAAAACTCGTTGACCATGAGCTGGGTATCATCAGGGCCAGCCTTAGGCCTATGCTGCCGCAGTGCAGTGGACCCCGAAGGTTCAAAAGCCCTGCGCTAATTCTAGGTGTAAATTATTAAATTAAACCATTATAATTTATAATAGGGTTCCCGTGGTCTCCTTGTTTTCAAGGAGCTCCTGGAAATCTCCTGAAACTCATAAAAAAAGTCCTTAAAAAGACAAATTTGTCATTTTGGGGTGTCAATCAATATGGTAAACGCCAGTCCTACGCGTGATATAAAAAAAACGGCATCGTCAGCTTTCATTCAATAAAAATGTAATGCAAATATGAATTTATTTTCTAATACAAAATCTTTATTTTCACTTATTATCCTTATCCCTACCCTTACTGGTCCCGCGCAATCCATTTCACATAGGGCACGCAAATGTTAGGGCCGGCCCTGGTTGTGCAAGTAAGGCATAGATAAGCTTTGTTATGACCATTTCCTATGTTTTGGTATGGCTTAATCACATTGCAATAATTCACCAGCAAAATAATAACAAAGTAAAATCTACCTACCGGTGTACGCAATTAGAGTGTAAACAATGTATATAGCCTTTAAAACACAATAACTAATCATACATGAAGATATTTAATTTCATTATTTTTTTTCCATAGTTTCATAATGGATCAATGTACAATAAGATGGTGCGCAAATGTTTAATTACGTCAATTGAATCATTAAAACTTGTTCTTGTTTGCGAAGAAATGTCTTAGTGTACTGCTCTGAGCCTAGTGACGTAAGCGGTGTCAAGTTTTTTTCCCCATTGACGTCATGTAGAAAATTTCATTCATAAAACATTCAAGCCAAAATTAATTTTTCGATAATGAGCCGTTTTCAAACCGATATAACGGTCGACTTCGAGCTTTCCCGATGTGGCCAATGAATTTTTTTCTCACTATTATGTACATACCGTGAAATTTTAAAGAAAATCGTTAGAGACGTTCTCGAAATAAAATGTATATATATATATATATATATATATATATATATATATATATATATATATATATATATATATATATATATATATATATATATATATATATATATATATATATACAAGAATTTCTCGCTTAAGAGTATAGAATTTTTGTCGATTTGGGCGTCGTTATAGGCCTAGCTAGTCAATAAAATTCCTGTGGCATTTATTTTCTAGAAATTGGTTATTATCTTTTATGCTAACAGGCATTTTTTTTTCTTCATTTCTTTATCGGGGTAAAATTCGCCACTTGTAATTGTGCAATGATACAGATCTAGTATCATCTAACACTAACACTTCACTAATTTGACTACTTCTTGACAAGCACACTGTGACTGCAGTCACAGTAATCTTTCAGTAACTAGACTCGACTTCAGTTGGCCTAATATTAACTGTCACTAAGACGTCTCTAGATCTCTAGAATTAGATCTAATCTATCATGATCTAAATTATCGATTACTAGTCGACCCTCGGCCTTAGGCCACTGCAGCCTATGCGACCGCAGTGGGTCCCGAACTTTCATAGGCCCCACACTAATTCTAGTTGTAAATTATTAAATTAAACCAATTTATAGCTTATAACAGATTTCCCGCGGCCTCCTGATTTACAGGAGCTCCTTGAAATCTCCTGGAATTGTAAAATATACAACAAAAAAAAATCTAGGTATTTTAGTGATGACACTACAGATATCTCAGGCACTAAGCAGATATGTCTTTGAGTGTTCGGTTTGTTGATTGCGATTATATTCGACTTCATTGGTTTAGTTCCTGTTGCTCAGAGAGACGCTTTGCATGTGTCTAACGTCTTTGTACAGTCTAGACATGGACAAACTACTCGGCCAAGGCTGTCTCATGATGGCTAGCATTCTTTTTCCGTAACTGTCCCTAGCAATAGCGTTGGTGCTAAAGTTACCGCTTTTGTGTGAGACAATGAACTGAAAAATACGAATCCATTCTAGCTTTAAGTCTCAACTTAGATATCTTAGACTGTTTGGGGATCTTAAAATAACGTCTACAAGTGAAACCAGACAAACTGCACATGTGTAGTAAATGTGTTTCTGATTTATTTTTTCATTGTCGTCAATTATTCATCTGTTCTTGAACCAGTTTCCATGGTGTTGCAGTCTTTCCAACTAAACATAGTGGCCGTTCAACAGCACATCAGCAGTCACATTAATGGTATAATCAAAAACCAACTTGACCATCCTGAGGAACACGTCAGAGATGTCATCTTGAGGAAGGAGAAACTGCTAGCAGAAAAACTTGATACAGGATATTGAGTTGCTGCTGCCGAGAATTCGCAGTCGACAGACACACTGAGAAAAAAAAACATCTTTGGATTTTGGGAGTTATTACAGAACATGGCTTTACATTACATATCTTAATTCTTAAGTTTCCTCATTATGTCTCGCTTTTCGAGCAATAATAATGATCAGTTCAACTTGTTTTGTCTTCATCCTAAAATTATGCAAAAGCTGCAATGCAAAGAAGATTATCAGAACTGCACGATAAGCGTTCATCGCCAGCTTGCCACTCGTTAGTTAAGTTATTGACAATTTCGGCAGCCACAGTCAACGTTTGCAGATTTTGTTTGATCGAACGTAAGGGAGCACGGGCCTCACGGATAAAGTGAACAATGTTGTACAGTGAATACATTATTCACGTGTTTAATTTATTTTTTTATTTCATGAAAAAGAAGTATTTACTGTGTATTCGATATTGATTAGGTATGTTGGTATTTTCTTTAATATTAAAACAAGAAAGTTGAGGATACTACTTTAAGCCATGGGTTGCAGCTTGCACCCCCCTCCCCTTCGAAAAATCCTGCGGGCGCCCATGTGCATTGCACATACCTCAGAATATGCATTTTTTTTGTTGGCTGGCAAAGGCGGGTATCTACGTTCTTTCCACTAACTCCAGGAGAAATGTTATTCTTGTTTCTTCAATTTATATCAGGAATATAATAACACTATGGATGCTTAGTTAAATTATTTAAGAATTCAAAACATTTAGTTTTTTTGTTGTTTTTTTTATTTTACAGTCAACACTTTTTGTTTTTTTTTGAAGTTTCAAAAAGTGCTCTTGTGGGCCTCTAAATGCCCCGAAAGGCCATGGGCCCGGGTTCATTGAACCTCTTTGCCTCGCCACTGATCCCGACCCTTCATTCTTAAGGACAATTTTTGTACCTAGAAGAGGTTCTTTTTGGACTTAGTTGAAAATCAGTAGACACCCCACTCATGCCATCTAGAGGGTCTGTGGGAGCGATGGAAGCTCCACAGCGAGGACAAGAGCGGAGCCCCGGCGCTAAACATTATTCCAGGTATTTAAAGCAAACAAAAAATGCATGTTTCAGGCATTATTCTGCTACCCTTCTATTAAAAAACTGTACGTCAAAAACCAAATATGTTATTCACCGAACTTTATTAATGGAGCCAGCGACTAGTAGAAATTAAAGTTTCGCTTTTTTTTTTTTATATTGAATAGTGAGGGTAACCCCAAAACCCATTTTGGCTACGCTCATGAAATTTGGTGACTGTTGTTTGCTATAGTTTTTTGTTTTATCAAAAAGGGGAGTTTTATGAACAAAACAATCTGTCGGAAGGGGGGAGGATTAAACTCAAAACAATCTGGACTGGATTTTTTAACTCACCCCCCCCCCTTTTAGCTAGGCTCATATAATCTGGTAACTGTAGTTCGCGGCGTTCCAGTACCACCTCATCGTGGTCGCCTCGTGAACACTCCGCTCTCCTGGAGTGGCCAAGGGTACTGGTTGCTTGCCGCTGATGAATGAGCAGCCGGCAAGTGTAAAAGGAAAAAAAAGGGGTTATGTCCAGCCCCCCCCCCCCCGTGGGGCCCCGGGGCAACGGTGAGTAAGAGACCTAACGGGATCTTCAAAAAGCGGATAGCGCTGGACACCAACTCGAGGGTTGGTCGGGTTCTCCTGGGACTCGGCTGATTCGCGGGTCTCTCTTTGGGCAAAGACTGGACTGACTGGCGCGGCCTTAGCGGGCTTCGTCGGGCGGACTGGTCGACGTCCACGAGCTAGGCTCTAACTAGCCCGTTCCCTGGTGCGCTAGTGGAGGAATTCGCGCGACAAATGGTAGTTCCAAAACTGGGAATGTCGAGAAACGCGCGCCGCCCCACTCCTGCCTTGCAGGAAACTTATATGCCAAACTGTGGTGGTGATGGCCTGGGCAGGTTTCTGCCTTGCTCTTGGTGGCGACATAAGTATAGGCCATGCACGCTGCTGCATTAGAGCAGTAACTAAGGCCGCCAACGGCCTTAACCATACAACAATGACAGATACAGACACGGAAAAAAGCGGGCACGAGCAGACCCGAACAGGCTCCGTTCGCCGGGTAGTGGGCGTCAGGCCTGGACACGAAAAGTCCACTACTAGTCGCCCCGCGACCTCGATGAAGGGGAATTTGTCAGATCGTGAAAAATTAGCTAAAATTCCTCCACCAAAGCCCTCTTCTCAACGAACACTGCATTCGTACCTCCTTCAGAGGTCCGATTCGAACAAGGTTGATGGAAGTCTGCCACAACCTCCTGCCGACATAGATACACGGCAGGCAAATATGACTGGAAGCGAAATAGTGACGGGAGCCTCCGGCACCCAAACAACCCAATCTGACACTAGTGGGACCCAACCAACCCCAGGGACTAAGCCCATAAACACTAGGTCCCTCCTAATTTTATAAATAAACATCTGTGGTGTAATACCCAAGATGTTTGAGCTCTCAAAACTCCTCCACGAGAGGGCAATAGATGTGGCATTATTACAAGAGACACTAACTGGCAAACGTAATGCCAATATCACCGGTTATACTGCATTTAAGTGCAAGTGCACAGACTGCCGGGGCTCATTACCTACGTACGCAACAATCTGGTTGCTACTCAAGTCCCCGGTCCACGAGTGCACGGGCGTACCGACGCCATCACCCTTGAGGTACATAAACTCGAGCGTAAACTCACGGTAACTAATCTGTACAACCCCCGCTCCCCCCCAAGCATGAAATTAGTCTCGAATATGACTGTACCAATATCAACACTCACAACGTCATCGCAGGAGATTTTAATGCTAAGTCTCAACAGTGGGGTCCACGAGTGCACGGGCGTACCGACGCCATCACCCTTGAGGTACATAAACTCGAGCGTAAACTCACGGTAACTAATCTGTACAACCCCGCTCCCCCCAAGCATGAAATTAGTCTCGAATATGACTGTACCAATATCAACACTCACAACGTCATCGCAGGAGATTTTAATGCTAAGTCTCAACAGTGGGGCTATGATTCAACCGACTCGTCGCGACATAAAATCCATGAACTCCTTAATAACTCTAATTTGTTCTGTCTGCAAAATAAACATACTCCCCCAACTTTATACCATACTGGAAATGGCAGCCAATCTAAACCTGACCTCACTTTAATTACAGCCAATTTAGAATCCCATACACAATTCACAGTCCTGGACGACATTGGGAGCGACCATAGGCCCATATTGGTCACAATTGCCCTCTCACAGGCCAGTGGTGTAACCCCAAAAATTCCGCTGAAGTGGATTTACACCAAGGCGAACTGGCCAGCCTATGAGGCAGCAGTCGACGCTGCCCTAATGAATTTAGCAGTGGAGGAGAGGTACGTCGATATCATATACGGCGAAATAACAGCAGCTATGTTGGGTGCGGCCAACAGGTTTGCCCCGCGGGCTTATCCTGGCGTAAGGCAGAAACGCATGTGGTCTCAGGAATTGAATAAGCTGGTCATGAGACGCAAGCGAGCCCGGAGGCTTGCTGAACGGAAGGATACCCCTGAAATCCGGCGGGAGTACAATCGGCTCTGTAGAGCCACGAGTGAATTGGCCCGACGCGCAGGTCGGACCATTGGAACGCTGCCTGCGCCGGGATGGATCTTCGGGACTCCTCGAAAGCCTGGCGTCTTCTGCGAAACCTTGAGGCCAAAGACACAGCGCGAACGGCTGCCCCTCTATTGTCACCCAGAGGGCCGTCTCAACGGTAACCAAAATGGCCGGCTTGTTGAACCGACATTTTGCTAAAATCAGCAAGCCCGAAAAGAAGACAGCTATGTCCAAAGCCCTCAACAAAGAACATAAAAGACTCAAGAGGGAGTCAGATGAGCCTGAAAGCCAAGCAACGTGCAACGCGCCCTTCTGTCGTGCTGAGCTGGACAGAGCGGTAGCTAAATGTAAAAACCGAAAAGCTCCGGGGCCAGACAAGGTTACCCCTGAAATGGTAAAACACCTTGGGGGCATTGCAAGAGGTAAGCTCCTGGAGTTTATAAATCGAACCTGGGCAGAGTCCAGACTGCCCCGGGCCTGGAAGAGTGCTATCATTGTGCCAGTCCTTAAGAAGGGAAAAGACGCGACTAACGTGGAGTCCTACAGACCCATTTCACTAACATCAACTCTTGGCAAAGTTGCTGAGCGAATGGTTAACGAGGGGCTAGTTTGGTCCTTTGAGAGTGCCGGTATCCTGGCGCCAGAGCAGGCCGGCTTTAGTGCAGGCTTGAGCCCGATCGACCAGGTCACAACATTGGAACAGGAGGTGGCCGACGGGTTCCAGAGGTCCGAAAGCACATATGCAGTGTTCATAGACCTAAAACAGGCTTACGACCATGTGTGGAAGCAATGTATGGTAGCTATGAGGCACTACGCCGGACGGCTAAGTTTCTTGCCAGAACACTACGGGAGGACTAGTCCTTCCTGCTCTGATTTTTCAATGGGAGTTCATCTCAGGTAACTGTAGTTAATTTCTTTGGTTTAAACTCTGTAAAAAAAAGGGGGGGGGGGGATTAGGCGTCAAAACCACGTAATTAATATTTATTACATTCTGACCCTTCATTCTTTCGGAAGACGTTATTGTACCATAGAAAAGGTTCTTTCTGGAGTTAGTGGAAAGACTGTAGACACACCGTCCTTGCCAGCTAGGAGGTCTGGGTGAGTGAGCCCCGGTGCCATACACTATTTCCGGTATTTAAAATAAATACAAGAGCATATTCTGAGGTATCTATTATACAGTGCATTATCCTGTCAAAAAAAAAAAAATTCAGCTCAAAAACCAAATCTGATATTAACTGCACTTTAATAATGTGACCCAGCGACTGGTAGAATTAGTCACCCCTCTTGGTTACGCTCATAAAATTTGGTGACTGTAGTTTGCTTTAGATGTTATATGGAAAATCCATCTGTTGTGGATTTTAAACTAAAAAAAAATCTCTTGAGGTTTTTTTTAAAAACAAACTCAAAACCCCCTTAACTACGCTGATAGAATTTGGCGACTGTAGTTTGCTTCAGTATAATATTGAAGATGGGGGTTTTAATCTCAAAACTCATCTAGAGGGGTTTTAAACTTAAAACCCACTTGGGGAGGGGTTAACTCCGCCACCTCTTGGCTATGCTCATAGATTTGTGATTGTATTGAAGAGGGTTTTTTTTAGCTTCAAACCCCGCTTGGGGGGGGGGGGGGGTAAACTCAAAACCCTCTGGTGGGGGTTTTTACTTAAAGCCCTTTGGAGGGGGTTTTAAGCTTAAAACACTTTAATTGTGTAGAGCCGAAGTTGGCTTTTAATACCTCTTCAATATAAAAAAGCAAATAACACACTCAATATGCTATGAGCGTAGCCAAGCCAAGAGGGGTTTTGAGTTTAAACCCCCTGCTCCGGAGGGCTTTTTGAGTTAAAAATTCCCCTACAGCGAGTTTTGAGGTTGAAGACCTCTCTCTTCAACATTAGCAAACTAC